TAATTTTGACGGATATGGATATAAGTTTCCATCGCCATTTTATATCGATATTTGCATCCATATCCAATGATTGGTAAACATATTGAAATTTGATAAATGTTGACATCACATTGTTGAAGATATTCTCTTCACCCTTAATCAAAGGTATTCAAGGTATCGTATTCAAAATCAATCACATCAAAGAACTCACCATCAGGTGGCTCAAGACAGCAGTTTCTTCCGTCATCAACAACAGCAGGCATTTGGATAACAGGCACCTGATCATTGATAATTTCTGCGTGGGGGAAATTTACAACTCCAGTACTTTCAACATCCATAAATTGCACAAATGGGCCTGTTTGCTGGTTAATGAGAGGTGCAGGCTGAGATTCCATTGGAGCAGCAGCAGTATTATCTGCAGGAGGAGCTTCAATGCTAGTATTTCTTGGGGGATTGAAGATATCGGGCATGTCGAGGAAAAGGTACCCGAACACCTGCAGATTAAAGTTTACATCATCATCATGCATTTATTAAAAAAAGACTTCGTCTAAATTCTTGAACTTGAAAGTGATCTTAGGAATTTGGCAAAATCTCTTGAGTACCAGGTTTACTTTAGGGTTAATTTCGGATAGAGCCAGTACCAATATTGCCCAATTGCAGCTAGAATCCCTTAGTCTATTGTTGCAGATAGATCCCTTGTATTATAGCAAAATTGTGGATAGATCCCACTGTGAAACTTTTTGGCTCTTTTATTCTCAGGAGGTCTCTCTGCTGGAAAGTAAATTTCTCTTTCTTTAAGGGCTAAAGAGTCGAAAAAGTTCACCCGGCGTTTATTGCCAATGGATCTTTAAGCAATTGAGCAATAGTAAGGGGGTCTATCGGCAAGTAACCTTTTATTTTATGGGTTATTTGCCAATACACCCTCACTACTAGGGAATTTTAGCTATTATATCATTAACTCACGTGGTATTAATCATGGAACTGTTCTGAGAACATATTCTGAATATGAATTTAAAATTATAACAAGAAAACCCTAATAAAAATAGAACATGAGTGATTATTGACTAGATACTGATATTGCAGAAAGTGGCCGCAGATAAATTGTTTGGTGGAAAATTTATAGTAAAAAGAATGAAAGAAATTTGATTTGTATTCTCTCGATCTTAATTATAATTTGAATTCCGATTGCAAAAGAGAAGAGAATTGATCTGGATTCTCCCCTTTGTTTAATACTGGGTTCTTCACGGTAGCGATGAGATGCCTCCCTCGAATGCTCGCGTCGAGTTTGCTTCTCGTTGACAATCCGAACGTTTTGTTTCACTGGAACGGTATATTCTCCTCACGATTTGACGTTGTGGAGGACTTGCGTGGTAAGTTTGAAACTCTGAACGAATTGATAACTCAGAGCGAATTTAAACTTTTGTAAAAGAGTTGATTAATCTTAACCGTAATTGGTTAGACAAGCCAAGCATGAAGATAGCCCCAAGAATCTGTTGTCGAGAAGATGATCCGAAGAAGCCGATCTCTAGATCTCCAAAATTCTCAAAGATCCAAAGATATCCCCCCCCTAAACTCCAGCCTCAAGATCTCTTTTTTGCTGCCTAGGAGAAGGATCCGAACTAAGCTGATTTTTTAGTCATTTATAGGGGATTAAGGGGTATAATCGCCTCCTTAATTCGCTCCTAAGTGAGGCTTATGGGATATAACCTCCCCTTAAATCACTCATGAGTAGAGTTGTGATCCCCTCATATCGTGAAAAATAGTTTTGAAACCGTTCAGCTTGTGTTTGAACAAGTCAAACGCAAAATTCGCGTTCTGGCGTGAATTCTGCGTTCAAATGTAGTGTCCGGAAGCTTGAACGCAGTGTCTGAAAGCTTGGACACAGCGTCTGGAAGCTCATTTACAGCAATTGGAAGCTGTGTAGCGATTTGGAAGCTGCGTTGACAGCTTTCGGAGGGTGCGTTTGTGGTCGAACATGAGCTGCGTTAGCAGCTGGATCTGAGCTGTGTTTGTAGTGTTTAGAGTTGAATGTGAGTTATGTTTGCACTGCGTCAGCGGCTGTGAACGCGGTGCGTCTTGATGCTGGTACGTGAGGAGGACTTTCGCGTCTTGATTTGAAGAGACCGTCGATTTGTAGTCTTTTTCTGTCAAAGCGTTACAAAGATCGTCATTTTGTAATCTTTGCTTTAGCTCTTTGATATGTGAGAGTCGTCAGATTGTAACTCCCGATGTTGATTGTAAAGGCTGTTGATTAGAGCTTTCATTAGTTGTTGCGAAGGTTGTCAGATTGTAACCTTCATCGATCTACGTGAAAGTCTTCAAATTGTAATCTTCTGGAAGTCGTCAGATTGTAACTTCCATCATTGGTGTTTGATGGGCATTGGCTATCTGTTATGATTTTTAGACAGTATATATTTAATACTATAATATTATTACTATAATATAATAATATTATATTATATTATAAAAATAAATTTTTAATACACTATTATTAATAAAAGTTAATATATTAATAACAATAACATATAAATATTATAATATGTTAATTATATATGTAATATTATAATAATTAAAACAGATTATGTAGTAATAAATATTTAATATATTAAAAATATGTTTACTATTAATATTATAAAAGGTTAAACTATTGTTGACCAAAAACACTTGCCATGGTGTTTTGAAAATATTTTTGGAGAAAAACACCATACAAAAATCACCATGGTATTCAAACATACCAAATTGAGCTTCTTATTTATATATGGGTAATGTTTTTCTAAGGTGACACCTTAGATTCCCAACTAAGGACGCGGTCTAAAATCACATTATTTCCTATTTTTTTACGATCTGCTTCGTTGAACGTGATCTACACGTTCTTAAACCCAAACACACCAATTTTGGGGGTAAAACCGTCGTGTTTTGACCCTTCATCCACTCATCATAATTTTAACGGTTTCGAATGAATAGAACTTTTTGCACGGCTCAACAAAGGGTCAAAACACGACGGGTTCACCCCAAAATTGATGTGTTTGGATTTAAGAACGTGTAGATCAAGTTCAACGGAGTGGATCACAAAAAAAAGGAATGATGTGATTTTAGGCCGCTTCCTTAAGTGGGAATCAAAGGTGTCACCCTAGGAAAATATTAATATATATATATGCAAGAAAAAATTGCATTTATTCCTAGCAAAGAAGACCTAAGTTCGCCTGAAAGCTGAAGTTTGACTGCAAAGGAACACTGAACGATCGCCTAAATGATCCATGCTGATTCAAACTCACCATTGAAAACGAAGCTCGTCATTGAAGACGAGGCTCGTCATTGGAGACGAGGTTCGAAGTTCGTCACTGGGGACAAAACTCCTCTAGAAAATGAAGCCCTTTCAGGAGGCGAAGGTCACTCCATAGACGAACCTCGTCAAGCAATGCCTCACCCCCTCAGAAGACGAACCTCATCATTTGAAGATGAACTTTGAGACGAAGATCACCCAGAAACGAAATTCGCCATTGAAGACGAAGTTCGCCTAGAAACGAAGTTCGTCATTGAAGATGAAGTTCGTTGAGAAACGAAGTTCGTCATTAAAGACGAACGTTCGCCCATGTAGGCGTATAAAATTGCCTATAGGTCCCTTAGCACAGCTCGACGCCGATTTAACAAACGGACCACCGGGCGACGTATCCAAACAAGACCGTTAGCTCGCCAACGCTGAAGCCAAGCTATACGCAACGGAGCAGGTTAACGAGGCGACAAATCGCACCCAAGCATTGGAATGCATCCACTCGCACGCGGAATCAAACCAATGTTTAGGTGAATCACCGAGTCATCTAAACAAGAGCGAACTCGGATGAATCACGATCAAATCAACATCAATTCCGGACTCAAATTCAGAAGTTGGTTTACTGCCATATCAGGAACCCGACTCACTGCCATATCTGGAATCAAGTCAACAAGTCGTTGCCAAGTCAATCAACCACACAAGAGAACCAGAACCGGAAACAAAGGACGAAACGGACAAACACCCGGGGACTCGGCCGAAACCGAACCACCCCAGGGTGGCTCGGCCCAAGCCGAGCCACCCTGAGGTGGCTCGGTGGCCGAGCCACCCCAGGGTGGCTCGGCCAAGGCCGAGCCACCCTGAGGTGGCTCGGCCAAAGCCGAGCCACCCCAGGGTGGCTCGGCCAAGGCCGAGCCACCCTGAGGTGGCTCGGCCAAGGCCGAGCCACCCATGGGTGGCTAGGCTCAGAACTGTGCAAATGCACAGTTCTGAGTGCCTATAAATAGGCCTTGTGCTCATTTGTTTCAGAGGTTGGAAATTTTGGAGAGAGGCGAAGCCCTGCTGGATTGAAGACTCAGATCTAAAAAAGATCACAACTTTGAAGGCTTGGAGACTTGGACTTTCAGATCCGGTGCTCGGCGATCACCAACGCCAAATAAGGCAGGAGTTCGAGAGGATTGGATTTGAGATCTACACGATCACACTCCGGATCTAAGCTTGGTTCTTAGATCCCGAGATTCGAGCGGTTGTTTCCTTGGTGAAACAATCCCTCCCGGCTATTATTCCCTTGGTGGAATATTACCCGTCATATCGTGTAGATCCGACCGGATCGAGATCACGCGGTGGTCCACGGCAAATAACCCCGGCGCAGGCAAAGAACCCACCAAAGCGAGCGACCGCAAAACAGGAGCTCGCGATTAGTTCGACAAATAAGGAAAATTGTAATCTTTACTTTGTTTTCTTTGATTTTTCATTGTAACCGGATCTTATAAAAAGACCGGATCTTTGTAACGCATAAAGTTGTTAACTGAGATAGCAATGATATCAACAATGAAGAAAGCTACGATTTTTCCCGCGAACAATCTGGCGACCACAGTGGGAGCCAACAGCTTTACTGCCGAAGCTGTCGCGTCGCAGCCGCGGATCCCGATCCCGGTCGAGGAGGAGGTCGAGTACGAATTCGACCAACAAAAGTTCGAGGAGTATCTGTCATCCTCGTCCGAATCCACCTCCCCTCGCAAGTCCAAGTCTCCAAAGCTCTCTTCCAAGAGAAAACTTCGTTGGTACGAAGAAGTTGAAGCTGCCAACGAAGATCTCGCCCCGTTTGATGCCGAAGCTGCATCGGGTGAGATCTCTCCTTCCAACCAGGTCAGATCTGCTCTGGCCGAATCTTCCGTTGCCGAGGGCGTAGTGACTCTCTCAAAGAGAGCCCGCCAAAGGCAACGTCAGCGCCTTGCGAAACAAATCGCAAAGGCAATGGAATCTGTGGACGGGATCCGTTACAACACGGATCTGAAGAACAGAAGAGGCGAACGACCTCAACAACCAATGAATGGCAACTCCTCCAAGCCACCAACGAACGAATGGATCCGTGTCAAACGGAACCGTTCAACGCTGGAGGATCGCATTCAGAAGCGCCGCGCACTCTCAGCACAAGCACGAGCTCAAGTTCAAGAAGCCCGTAGAAGGTGGCAGAATGGAGTAGCCAAGAAATCACCACTAACT